AGGATGCTCCAATGCGGTTCTGCGTGGACTACCGAAAACTAAATGATGTGACGAAAAAGGACAGCTATCCACTTCCCAGGATCGTTGATAATCTAGACTCGTTGACTGGAATGAAATGGTTCTCAACACTCGACCTCAAGAGCGAGTGGCAAGTGTAGGTTAGCGACGAGGACAAGGAGAAGACAGCTTTCAGCTTTGGAGATGGTATGGCAATTTGTGGTGATGCCCTCCTGCCACTTTTGAAAGACTTATGGACCATGTGCTTAAGGGACTGCATTGGAAAACACGCTTGGTGCATCTATACGATATTATTGTTGCCTTGAGGAGCAACTTAACAGTTTGGAAGAAGTTTCTAGAGAATAGCTGGTCTGTAGCTAAGTCCTAAAAAGTGCTCATTGTTAAAGAAGGAGGGGAACTACTTAGGACACAAGGAGACAACGGAGGGCGTCTGCACTGAGAAGAAAAAGAAAGAAGCAGTGGAGGATTGGCCAAGACCTAGAACTACGGAGCTTTCTTGGGCTATGCACCTACTATCGCGGATTTGTTCCGAATTTCGAATTATTACCTATAGAGCTCCACTCTGACCAGGGAAAAAATTTTAAATTGGCGGTGTTCCCAGAGATGTGCCAGATACTGGGTACCCGGAAAACTCGAACAACGGCACTTCATCTCCAATCAGATGACATGGTGGAACGGTTAAAGCGAACCCTGGAAGAGGATTTGCGGAAAGTCGTGAACAAGAATCAGAAAGATCGGGATATTCTTGAACTCCTTCCAAGGTAATCTTCGGCACTGAACTTCGTTTGCCTAGTGACCTGAATTTTGGAGTAAGCGGTGATACAAGAAGATTTGGAAAAGAGACGTCCAACATCCTAGAGGAGGAGAGCTGAGAGAGATACATGCTGTAGTGAGACAACGAACGCAAATTGTGAGTGACAAGATGAAAGCCAGGTACGATAAGCGATGAATTCCGAGGGTTTCCAAGAAGGAGGTTTGGTGTTGCTGTACAATCCACAACGGAAGAAAGATTTGTCCCGAAAAGTACAATGCAACTGGGAAGGTCCGTATAAGATCGTCAAATGGCTGAATGATGTGGTTATCCAGACCATTGGGATACCAAGGAACAAGATGAAGTGGGTCCACTTGGAAAGGCTTGCCGTGTTTGGAACAGCAAGTATGTGATAGACTTAGGTGGAGGGCAGTGTGGCGCATACTGCGGCAACGCGAAGCGAACAACGAGGAAATAGCAGAATGTTAAAGGAATGACGTAGAATGTTCGAGGAATGACGTATAATGCTCGACAGCGAGAAACGTCAAGTGGATGAATTCTGCGAACAGCGAATGATAGAATGAGCGATAAACTTCAGAACGTTCTAGAGTTGGCATAACGGCGAGCGCAGGTATATAAGGCCGCTACCACAGTGGAAATCGAGTTAGTTACAAGTGAGTAGCAAATCAGCAAGCTTTAAGTCAAGTTTTAAAACAGATCAATTGTATTATCAAGTGTTTTAACGGGTTTTAATTGCCTTAACAAGTATTGTAAATTGGTGTTACTGCATAACCAAGTATTGTAAAGTGTTTGTTGTACAATAAAGTTAATTGTACTGTAATTTGGCGATCTTAGGTGTTATTTAACAATCCAGCGATACGAACCGAAAGGATTTTGTGAAATCCGTCAAGTAGTCAATGATAATCGTAACAGTATAAACAGTTTTATAATATAAATATATATTTTATAATAAATAAATAATAGTATTTATTTATTTATTTATTATGGTTTGAGGCGGATATAACTGTAAGAAATGGAAAATTTGTGTAAACTGGCCAACATGTGCCAAGTGGTTGTGTTAGCGTTTACATCATGGATCGTGTAAACCTAGCAAATGAACCTGAATTGATTTCAAGTACTTGAATTATATAAATCGAGTGCTACTCCTTTATCTCATTTGTTAGTATTTCAGATCCAATTACCATGCGAATTGCGAACAAATCGATGCCGTCTCTAATTTTTTTCGGACATTTATCGCAACTAGCTCACAAATAAAAACTTGCATTTTTTTCTGAGGATGAAACGAAAAGTTCATCATTGTGTATATCCCTAATTTAATACGGAAACTTATAAATTTTTAGGAAGAACCTACATTGTGCAGCGATCGTAATTAGGGGAGCGAAAAAAGTAATTCAGGATGTCGTGGGAAAATGGTACAAGTTGTATTTACATGTATCGATTCCTCCCAAGAATGATAGAATCGTAGGGATGGGCATATATCAAAAATGCATAGATACTTATCGTAGCGATACTTTTAAAGAGTATCGGTATATGCAGATATTTCGATATATCTATATTTTTCACTAAAGCCGCAATTACCTAAAACCATTTTCCCACAGCATCCTGAATAACTTCGTTCGCTCCCCTAACTACGATCGCGAATTATTCCATTCCCACGGGTACATTCTTAAATCGATTTAACAGTTCTCTATCTCTGGGTCCTTTTTAGTTTTTCTTCGCGGCAAAATTGATGCAAAATGTAGGTTCTTCCTACAGGCACTCGAATTCGTAGATTTTCTACGATGGATTCCGTGATAGCCCTGATTATTCGGGACAGTTAAATTTACAGCAGAAGCTAGCCTTTCGGACGATACTGAGAAAGGGATATTAGGCACAGTTACGTTCAAAAGGAAAGATGCGGTTGACTTCGGTCTGAAACAAACACATAGAAACATCTCTTATACTAGGTTTACGTATAAGTAGATTATCCTCATTTTCGAGCTTAACTCCGTAATCTGTAATTAGAAAAGGAGATTAGCCATGCAAAATTTGTCCCTTGTTAATCTGTAATTATAAAATAATCTCAGATTTATCCGATAACTTTTCGGTGTCCAGCCTAGTTTTATCGATCATTTTTGCGAAGAGGAGGAACACAAAATGTAAAAGTAAACAAAAATGGACGCTAGCAAGGAAAAGAGGTTTGTAAAGGTATTTTTAATAAAATACTAAGTTAAAATATATTTAAAGTGCTTAATATAGCAGAAAAAGGTGATCACGGCGGCACGGAGAAGAAACAAATTCTAAAAGAAATTATATACAAATATGTAATTTTTGTCAATGATGGCCATTTGCATGCATTGTTTTAGGTTTCTGGCATATTATATTATAAAAGGCATCCAAATTCGCCCATAAATAAGTTAGATATGTGATTTTTTTGGGGAAGACCTTCCGCTAGAAACGCAAATATCGTACACCGAATTACGAGACGATCAGTACCATAACGACTGTTATAATCCGAAATATGCATTTTTACGTGACTTGTTGCTCGTTCACCATGAACGAACAACACAAGATCACGCAAGAAGAAGATAATGAAAAATGTCTTTTTTTTTGAGCGGGTTCTACACCATCTTGTTTCGCTGGAAAACGAACTAAAAGTAAGGTAGAATCATCTGAGTTTAGTATATTTCGTTTTCAAGGAACGTATTTTTAAATAATTAAATAAAGACTGAATTTGACAGACATACGCATTTATATATGTATTGAAAAAGTAACATTTACAGATCCAAATACATATCGTGTAAGAATGTGTTAAGAATGCTTTAAAACGTGTTGACATGTTGAATTAACTCTTCTTTAGTTAAAGAAAACAAATTCTCAGCTGACGAGACCGCTAACTAGGCATGAGTACAGTCCCGTCCACATAGAACTTTGGTGTTGTATTGGCGTTGGCGTCGCTTCAACAGCTGACTATGAATAGATGAATTAAAACGCAGCTGTCCACATAGCCAAAATTCGACAACGCTCACGCCAAAGTCAGCTGTTGCAAATAAATAAAATTATGTGAAGTATTTTTCCTTTTTAATCAAGTGAGGGCAAGAAATATCGTTAATTTATCTGTCGTTAGTATGTTAATTTAGTGGCCCATGCATTCGCTGCCAAGCGTTCATTGTAGCCAGCTTACTCATGATTCAACAACTACAGGTTGTAGCAATCATACAAAAACAACATTTACCGTTGGTATGAACTCCTTGTGCCATCAACATCTTCTTTATCTATTCATATGTATACCCTGCATACCAGGATTTCATAGAATTCTGAAAGGTTTCACAATCTTTTATAATTTCCTTTAAGAAATCGTACAGAAATTTCTTTACTAGTTCTTGTCAACCGCTTCATATGTTTTTCTTTAAAGATTTCTAAAAGAATCGTAACAAATTTCCGACACTTTTAAAGATTTTGGGAGCATTTGTTTGCAGGGTATAAATATACGTATATGTGTATGTATACGCGGAGATGTAAATAAAGCAAAACAGCCGATAATTTGACACAAGCGTGCTCATAAGAAGAAGCATAGCTTCTATCGCTATCACCTGTAATTGATGCGCCTTGCAGCTTACTCTTAACGTGCGTTCTGTCAAACCAACGCCAGTGCCAAAGCCAACGAGAAAGTTCTATGTGGGCAGGCCGTAACACTGAGCTGCGCTGCGCAATTGCGTTAACACCATAGCCGGAGTTGCCGCGGCAACACCAATATATGAAAAGCGCTAGCGCCATGAAACATGAGATACACACACAATTCGCTTTAGTTCTTTGAAAAATTACACGTACTATTTATTTATCCTTTGAGTGGTGAGAACGCCAGAAACTTATGTACCTTGGCAAATTTAAAGCTTTTACTCTAGAATTGTGAGAATATCGTGGCATTTATTTACTACATTCCTAGCAGTTGAATTCTGTAGGCTGTACAAGCTTTGCTCAGCGCCGAAAATTAAAGAAATAATAGATATGACATGTGTATGATACTGTATGCCGATGGGTATTGTAGTGACGCTCAGATGCTGCCGTGATCAAATAGTTCACTGCGCTATTGCGCTGACACCGCAGCTGTCACCGGCATTATTATTCTAGCGCCCTAGATTGTCTTAAATGAATACCCCTATTTGCTCACAACTAGCTCTGGCAACGCCAATCTTTTTTCTTCGTCATTTTGACAGTTTCTACGTCAGTCGATGTTTATAAATTTTGTATTTTTCTGTAAAAGCAATCTTGAGATTTTGAAACCCGTATTTCAAAAAATACAAAATTTTGCTCGATAATGGAAATAAAGCTTGGGGTGGATACTTTGCTGATGTGCCGCATTTGTCTTCAAAGTAGTGAAGAAGGGGAGGAAATGGCATCTATCTTCGATCAAGATGCGGACTCGGTGTGCCTTTACGAGAAAATTGAAACCTGTGGAGGCATAAAGGCAAATAAACATACAATTTTTCAAATACTTAACTATACAATTCTCAAATCGTACTGCAGATCCTAACCGAGCCGGAGCTTCCGACCCGTATCTGCAAAAAGTGCAATGCTTTCCTCACTATTGCTCATAAATTTCGTATTATATGCAAAAATTCTGACGATTATTTACGGGAATTCTTCTTTAAATCTTCTGAGCCCGACGAAGAGGAAGACAATAACTCAGAGTATGTAATGGAATATAACTCGAAAGAAATTAATGCACAAGTAACAAAGCAAACCGAGCACATGGCTAATGAAACACAAAATGCAACAGATTATGAAGGGTTGGCAATTTACTCAGAAATGTGGATACAGGATGAAGCGAATGAAGATGATTTGATCGTCGAGGATCTTGGAGAAAGCTCACAGCATTCTCATAGCATCCAGGAGCAGAAACCAAACCCCAGCCCATCAAAGAAGACGCATGGTATCACATCGAATGGTGCTGCGGTTAAACGTACAAAAAATGAAAGGAAACTCAACAAAGAAAAACATGTACATATATGCGACATCTGCGGTAATATATATCCCCGTAAGTATGCGCTGGAGTCACATATGAGACGTCATCGCAACGAGCTTCCATACGAGTGCGAGTAAGTTTAGTTAAGACCTATGTACTTTTTGCATGTTGACTTATTGGAAATTTGAGTACACCTGTAACTTTTTTGGCGTAGAATCTGTGGCCAATCGTTTCACCTCAATTACCAACTGACACGACATATACGTAAACATACTGGAGTGCGGCCATACGCGTGTCAGTATTGCAAACGAACATTTTCTGACCGTTCAACAATGCGTAAGCATGAGAGGTAAAATTCCTTCAAAATAAATAGAAAAAATTCTTAACTGAATTTTATTATAGAATACATCGAAATGAACGGCCGTACACTTGCGATATCTGTGGGAAAAGTTTTACCTATTCAGGCGTTTTGAAGGTGCATACGCTAACGCACACAGGCGAAAAACCTTTTACGTATGTACAAAATATATATAAAGTAGGAATCAATCATTTTAAAAGTAATAATGGCAGAACTAATTAAGTAATTTCAAACTCGCTGACCAAAAATAATAAGTAAATATTTACAATTATTATTTTTCGCTCACATACATATGGGTGTTTCCATGAAAATGTCAACCAGGACTGAAAAAATAAAAACAACTGAAAAGGGTTTTTAAGACGAATTAATAAGAGTAAAATACTCGAATTTTTATATTATAGAAGTATTTCAGCTTATTGCAATTTTAAAACTCAAAAATTGAAGAGTAAAACTGAGTGTCTGTTCCATGGTACAATAAAACAGGTAGAAGCCAATTTGACGTCAAACCTACAAAAGTCAAAGTTTTCGGGAGAGTAAAAAAAAAAATGAGCGTGTGTAAGGAAAAATAAAAAAATACATTTCACTGGTTGACGTTTTTTAAGTATATTTGAAGTTTATTCTTATTTATTTATTTTCTTTAGTTAAAATTTGATAAAACGTGTATGTTGTTTTCTGTTTTTGTTTTATGAGTTGCAGTGTTGTTGGAGGGACTTTTCGGCATAAGGGTCATAGGAACAGCACTTGTGCCTTTCCTGTACCTCCCGGTGTATTTGTGGAATCTACTTCTTTAAAATGTTTAACGCACAGCAAGGCATTTCACTGCAGCTCTGCCCACAGCTGCTTTCGCAACGTTCCTTACGCGAAGGACATTGACGCACGTTAAAAAATTTGTGGTATCTGCCTTATATTTAACACCACATAAAAAACAACGCTTCAGGTGTTGCATTTTTAACACATACACTAAGTATAAACCGCACAACACTACAAAAATTCAAATGCAAATTAAAATTTGTTATTTACGAACATTCAAAAAAAAAACAACGATATGACATTCAAAGCGTAACGAAATATAGGAAATAAAATAAAATCAAGTTGAAGTTTAAAGGTTTGGTTCTCATGCGAGCAACGTCATTTTGGCTTCTACCTGTATTTATGTGCCTTGGTCTGTTCGACTCAGTTTTCTCTAATGGAATGAACTATTTTCTCTTTCCTATTAACTAAATTAAGAGATTTGAAACATTACAATTACATCTTAAAATCAAATTTGCAATAACAACTAACTATAAAAATGGGAAAAAGGAGAAGTTAGAGCTCGGTTAACGGTAATTTTTTGATTTGCTTCTGATAGTATTCTAATGTCGCGTACGTTATGCAAAAACATTGTTTGTCTATGTCATTTGTATATTGGCAGTCGCAGGTAATGCAGATTACAATTCTTAAGCGAGAATTCTTCCAGTTAAAGATATACAGTAAAATTTTCTTTCCAACCGAAGTCGCATACGTTATTGTAAGTACGAAAATTTCAATCAAATACATCAAAACCAATGTTAATTGCAAATTTTCCATTTAAATTATTTATAATAGTTGTAAAACAATGAAACGGTGGCGGGAAGAGTTCTCAAAATACATTTTATTACTTACGAGAAAAATTGTCGGGTACGTTATGTCGCGTACGTTATTGTTTTTTTTAATATAAAACTAGCCAGAGATAATTTCTTTTAAAATATAAAAGGATTGTAAAGGTACATTATTTAGCTTAGTTTAGGAATATTTAAAGAAAAGAAAAACTCCCATGATTCGCAGACTTTCGCATATATGTATATGTGCCTTAAAACCACTTCTTTTTTTGTCGCGTACGTTATCACCTGGTTTTGAACGGATATTTTCCACACCAAAGTTTCGAGGCTGCTTATTTTTTTCTCAAACACAACTTTTTTTTCAGTAACTTCTATTTT